TTTAACAATAGAAAACGGAGCAGCATTCACAGCAATAACCTCGCGGACGCCATGTTTCGTACGACGGCCCCGCCATCGACAAGCGACGTTCCCGTAGACGACCGCCACACCGATTGAATCTCTGCGCCTCCGATGGCAGTGCCATCTATTCGAAGTCACGTGGTCCAGCCACCTTGGCGGGAAATTCAAACGACGAGATCGAACGCGAATTTCGATATTACAAATGCACATATTGGGTCATCTAAAAACCGCAGATACTTTTTAGATGACCCAATACAAAGTAAAGTATATTTTATTAATATAAATGTAACATTTATTAATATAAATGTAAATAATGTGTTTTAATAATGTCAATTTTTCATGTTAGTGTACTTCGAACTAATTTCAAACAACATACTTTATTAACAATTTGATTCTGCTATAACAATTGAACTTTAGATATTTACAGAGATATTTTGATATACTATGATATCTAGATTACGCAATTGATGACGTAATCGATTAGATTAAGTAACTTTGGGATCAGCCTCGGTTCTACATATTATAGAAATGCGTCTGCCTTTTGGTACGTGTCGTCCCTCAAAGTACGATTCCTCAGACTTGAGGATTTCGTGATTGTACTTGTACCTCGCAATGCCACTAAAAATGCATGATATTTATGAAATCTCTCGATAATAATTAAGGAGAGCCACGATAAAAATTATGAATCGAACCTCATGATGTATAATGATCTCCTCGGCAATAGAAAACACGCGACACATTCCTCTTCATGTCCTTCCATCGCCAATCTCATTACGCTGTCACTCAGCAAACTCAATCCTGCAATAATACCTCCGCAGAACTGTAAAATTTTGTAACATATTTTGAAGTGACTTCAATCAGAACTACCTCTGAACTCTATTGATAATTAATTTAAAAATTAATTATTAATAGAGTTCAGAGGTATAAATTGTTTCAATTTCTTATAATCTTTTCTTTAAACAACAAAAAACTGATTTTTATCCAAATTAACAAAATAGGTATAAAGAATAAAATGAATAATAAAAATAGTTCTTGAAAGTGAAAATAATAGGTCATTACCCTAACACTGTCAATATGTGGCTTTATCCAGCCTTCAGGAGCTAAGTCTAATATATGCACAAGCGAAAGCTGTATCATTTCTGATGAGAATGCTTTTCTACGAACTCTGTCAAGAATCTGAGAACTATCTTTGCTCCACTTCTTCCATTCGGTTTCTCTATAGCCATGTATTGCCTGCAAAGATTCAAAATATTGACAAATCAAGACAAAGCAATCTAAATGTAGAAGTACAATGATACTCGACATTTTACCAACATTGTCCCAATGGGAAAACTCATAGCGCAGTCGTTTCATATAGGGATCAACCTCTTGTATCAGGATATCTTCCTCTTTCTCACTGATAAAGTTCGGCAGGACTTTCATGGTGTCGTACAGCTCCACTCTCCAATCCTTAATCGCATCATTACTTGATATTGTTTTCTCCGAATTGGAATTGATATTATGTTTGGAGGTCGAGCAGTAAAACGCTCTGTTTATATTACGGAATAGAAGACGCATAGTTATCGCCATTTCCTAAATTGAGGAATCTTTTGATTAAATAATTTAAAAAAGTCACATAAACATGAGATTATTAGATGTTTGTTTTGACAGTTCTTCCTTATTTTTCACAAAATCAATTTGTATTATAAGGTCATATATTTTTCACAGATCGCAAATAGAAAAGACTTCATTTCTTTTACAATTAAATATTTTACAGAAAAAGTAAGATTTAGTAATTGTATACAGTTCAACACTTTTATTATTTAATTAAAACTGAAGACAAATAAAAATAAAAACTGTCCTAGTTAGTATAGTAAAGTCATGTTTTATTTTGAATTGATTTCAATTATAAAATTAATTATATATGAAATAAAATTGAAAATAAAGTTGAAAGTAATGTTTTATTTAACTAGACTATGGTTTTTATTTATTGCACTGTAAGCCAGAATTAATGATATTTTTACATTGCAAAATATTTGGCATTCTTTGACATTTTGAGGTTAAGTCGTTTGCTCAATTAGCATAATAAACGCTTACACGTGCTAATAAAACCAATTGTCTTCAATTCTCATACTTTATTGGTGAAATTAATGCATGTATAGACTCACTAGTAAGTGCATATAATTACTGATTTCATACTTTCACCCTAACTCTTAGAGTTAGCAAAGATAAATTCGTTACGCGACTTTGGTTACTTTATCAATCTAGCTATGTTTTGATATGTTTACAGGCAAACTTAAAACGAATTATATGCAGACATTTTTTTTTATCTTTATAATAAGACTCGGTTCCATCAATGTAAGATATAATTATCTGTTTAACATTCTTTCTGATGCTAAAAATTAGAAGGAATTTAAAGAATTTTTTTTAATTCTAGAAGAATTCTAGAAGATTCTTTCTAAGAATTTTGAGATTCTTTACTTCTACATTTAACTTCTACATTTTAAGAATCAAAAAGGATCTTTTTTTAATTCTAAGTAAGTTAAACCGAGATTAGATTTTTAACTAAAATTAGATCGAGAAATGAACCAAAACGATATAATATATATAGAATGATATAAACAATATAACGATAGAATAGAATGATATAAAAGGAAATGAAGGGAATTGTGTAAAGACAGGATTGACTTAACGTTGAGAATTCAACTATACATCAAGCTGCAAGCCTGCGAGACATTAAAAAAAAACGATGAGAATCAAATGAATGATATTTATTAAATCAATATCAATTTCTGCGCAGCAGTAAATACCTGAGAGATCTCAGGAATTGTTCACGTAGTTGACTCGGTTTAGAAAATAGTTTCCTGATAGTTTCGAGATATTTAATGCTGCGTCCTTACATGTTTTATGAACATTATCTTTGCGATACCCTATCCCCGAAATACATATCGTTCATTTCTGCGTGCATTGCAATGTACACGCGTTAATTTCTCTAGGCTGAGCAATCTAGACAATTTTTTATCAACAGCCGAAAGATATACCATCTACAAATGGAGAAACGCAATTGAAACAGAAAATATAAAAGATACTTTTTCTCTGCAGTAAAATGTACAATCAATTGTATAAATTATGAGCAAGAATCATAGAGGCGGATAATTTATAATCAACCTTTATTTAGGAATATACTCTTTTCAAAACCAACTTCTAATCATTCTTCAATAAAAGTACGTGTGTGTAGGTATTATGAATATGTAAGCTGTGTTATATAAAACTTCCACAATATAATTACACGAGTTTAGTCTGCAATGGCGCAGCTATATAAAGATGGGAAAGTTTCTTCCTTTTAACAGATTAAGATGCGATTACAACTCAAAGACTAAATATAGTTTTATCCTTCACTGCCCGATGTTAATGTATGCACAATCAATAAGTTAGAATCACGTGTTGCGCGACAATCTCAATGTTTATAAGCTAAAATCGTTACTGATATCAACATCAAAATTGAAAATCTGATAACGACGGACGCGTGGATAAAAATCCAATAAAACTCAACAGTAAGTCGTAGAATCTGCAACTGTCCAGAATAACTGCGTGTGAATGTGACATCACTACAGTTGTCGGAAAGTGTTCATTTGTTAAGCATTTCCGCCGATAATATTGTAATGCTAGCTTTCACTTCTACTTTTTTTTTGTTTCTCATCTTGTTAAGGGTGATATCATGGATATAGATTAAACCGTTGTACATTTTGGTTACAATTCAATATGCAGAAATTACAAATATAAAGTTTCTGTATAAATTCTGCAAATTAATATTCCTCTGCGTGTATTTAGGCGACTAGAATGTATGAATATGTGAAAAGTCGCTACATAAAATCGTCATATTCATCATATACATAATCACCGTATTCGCTCAATAAGGTGTTGTCACCTTCGATTTTGAGTTTGGCCTTTCCTTTTCCTTTGTTCTTTTTCGCCTTATCACCCTTTTCCATCTTCTGCTTTTCAATAAGTAAGTTGTCAACTATAGTTTTCACTTTTTTCAAGTAATTTGACGATACTAAAACAAAGAAACATTTTCAAATATAAAGTATCTAGCTGTGAAAGTAAAGTATCGATTGTTAACAAATATACTAACAATTAAGAGCAATAGACTTTATAAGTTCTTCTGCAAACGGTGGAAACTCTGCGTGTTTGTTAAATTGATTAATTTTTTGTGACAGTGCTGCACCATATCGCTCAAATTCCTCTTTTGTATCCGGTACCATAATATCGAGCGATTCGTTTTGCGATACTTCTGTCACTCCTATAACATAAAATTGTCAATATTGTAATAATGTACACACAACACATATAATATTAATATATTTCTTATTAAATATATATAAGTAACGTAATATTTTTCATATCAAGCTAATATGTATTAGATTTAAGTATATTTTGTGAAAACTCACTAATAATTTGTTCACGAGCATGTAACAATGAACTTTATAAAACTGCAGAGAAAAATGTACTTCTGAAGAAATGCATACTATTTTGTATACTATATTTTTGTAAGAAATATAAAGGTTTATATATCTGACATGACTCACATAATTGACAGTTTTGCATGTTACAATATATGCATCAAAAGAATCAATCAGGAACGGTACAGGAGACAGATAACAGATGAGATAAGGTTACAAAGACTGATGCAAACACAACAAATTGCATAGAATAGCAACTTTTATTAAAATACAACAACATCAGTAATAAATTTAAATGTAGAGCTTGTAATAAGTTTAAATGCTTGTATATATATTCTCTTTCTGTCTGTCTGCCCCTGTTTGATGCAGTTCCTAAATGATAAACCGATTGTAGATATAACGTGGCTATAATAATTACAATAATGTAAAGCTATTATGCCACATTCTTAAATTAATATCAATAAAAATATTAAGAAAGACATATGTACATAATGTTCTATGCGTGTGTATGTATGTGTGTTGCATTTAGCATTTTTTAAAAGATATTTCTTTTTATATAATACTGTATGATTTAATGTAATATATAGGTAATGTTACGCCGAGACACTACCGTGTCTCCTGACAATTCAGTTTGTGTATCGTCACAATTTTTAAATAGTTAGTTTAATATTAATATTTTTTTCAATTCGTCAAACGTCACACTTATATAAAAATAATAGCTATTATTATTGTTACAAAGCAAAACTGCTTATACGTCCCATGCATAATTAGAAAGTGTACTTTTTCAGCTAAGTAATATTACAATGACAATGTGCGCCTACAATGTATAAGGTAATAAAAAAATGACGTATCTTATAAAAAATTTTTGGTTAAATAATGTTTCTAACGCCTAATATAATTCTGATAAAAAAAAGAGAGGTCTATTTTAGATGTCAGATAAAAATTACTATGTTAGAAATAAGAAGCTATCAATTCACAATATGAAACAGTTAGATCATTCGTTAAAAAAGTCATTTCTTATCTCTTTTATCTTTTTTACGATCACTAAAATCTACTAGAGTCGACAAACCAAAAGTTTCCATCGCCAGCCGTAAGTCTGCCTCTTCTTGCAACCTTTGACGCCTTAACAGTTCAGCTCGCCTTTCTTCAGGTGTAAGTGCATCCTCCTTTTCTTTCGCTTTCCTCTCAGCTTCTTCCCGTGCTTTTTTCTGAGTTTTCATATAAATGTATTATATAAAAATATAAGTAAAATTATATAAGATAAAAACAGTATCGTAGCTTAAGTAGAAACAAACCTCACGTTCCTCGATCCTTTCAGCTAGGGCTTTTTTAGGTTTCGGTTTTGCCTTTGGGACCTCCGCTGGTTTTTCTACATCCTTTTTCTCTTCTTCTACATCTTCCCAGCTATCCTGTTATTTAATATGCATAAATAAATAAAACAGGATTTTATCATCAACAGGTCTGTTCTTTTTTGCACTGTTCATCATTTCTTTTTTTTCCAGTATGGAGAGAAAAAAAGGAAAGATAAACATCACGCAAGAAATTCAGCTAAAAAACAGACTTATTTTATATATATATATATATATACAAAATGGTATTGTACCATATTATCATATAATAAAATTGGGATATTTAGTATTTGTTAGAACCAATGTATAAATATCTTAATACAAAAAATTTTAATATAATTCATTTAATCAAATAAAGATCTAGTAAAAATATACAATAATTGAAATAATTCAAATAAAATTAACAACTATTAACAATTGTTATTCATAAATTATTCAATATATATTATTTAATATTCAATTATTCACATATGTCTAACTAAATATACTTTATGCAAAATATTTAACAACAGTAAATACTGAATTATATTCTGAGGCTGCGTTCCATTTCACGCATGATGCGCATGACGTATCATTTATTCTTGCTTAAATATGATGAATAACAAGGATAAATAATGCAGCATGTGCATCATGCATGAAACGGAATACAGCCTAAGAATAACAAAACAAAAGAATTTAACTTCCTTAAACAGCGTTTACTTATTCATTTCTATACAAGATTGATTCCAAACATGAGAAGTATTTATAACAAGAGATATATGCTTCTATTAGCTATATTAAGTAAATAAATATTAAGTATAAACAAATTCACAGGATTCCTTGGTTCTTATCCTTATACAACTATAATATTATTTATCCTTCTTTCATGACTGTATACATCGCTCTGATCAAGGACACCAACAAGGATACGAGAAAGAATTCTGTAATCGATGAAAAGCACAGTATGGAGAACATGTGTTCGTTATAGGTTAGGTTCGCGGAACAGCACGCGGACTCGTGTGGGAGGGTCCTCGCGTAGCACGAACGATGTGAAAATCGCATTACCTTGACATCCTCTTCCTCGTCCTCGCCCTCCCACTTATTCGATCTCATCGCGAGGTCGAATTTCGTCTCGACATTGTCCACATCTGCAAGAGACACAGCAAAGGGGTGAAGGTTAAAAAATCAGTCTCACCCTCGCGAGAAATCGCTCCGGTTCGCAGGGAGCGTTTCGCGGGGAGCGATTAGCGTTCCCCGTTCACTTACGTACCCCATTCCTCGTCCATTGCTGCCGGTGATTATTCGCCGTGCGTCGTGCCTGCGGATGAACAGAGAACCTGCCGCACAAACGTGGTGACAACGAGTACAACCGGAATCGAGCGTGCCATACTGCACGAAGGAAGCAGCGTGCCAACGTTGGATCCGATCGCTCGCGCGAGCGTGACCTGCTGCGCATGCGTGGCGACCGATCGAGAGATCCAGGCACGATCTCT